CACACACACGCACACACGCACACACACACACACACAAACTCTCACACACACTCTCACACACACAAACACACACACACACTCACACACACACACTATGCATGCATGCATGTATATATATGACTCCATACAGTCAGAATAAAGCTGGCTGTAGAGGCGTATGCTTGTCACCCCAGCATTTGGGGGAGGATGACGACTGTCAAAAGTTTGAAGTTGGGGTGGGCTACCTAGTGAGACCCTGTCTCCAGCAACAGCAACAACAAACCCAGAAACAACAAGAAGAAACCACAAAAGGAAAACAATAGGAAGATAGTTATTTTTCACCTGAAGCAACTCGGGGCTAATGGAGTTTAGTTTGATTTTTATTTGTTTCAGAGGGTGTGTGTGTGTGTGTATGTGTGTGTGTGTGTCTGTCTTGTCTGTGTGTGTGTGTGTGTGTCTTTGTGTGTGTGTGTGTCTTTGTGTGTGTGTGTGTGTGTGTGTGTGTGTGTGTGTGTGTGTCTGTGGAGGTCAGGGGACAACTCTCCTTTCACACATGGTCCTGGGGATGGATTCAGGCCTTCTCACTTGCCAGCAAGCACCTATACCCGCTGAGCCGCCTTGCCAGCCTCAGCTTGTGGACTTAGCAATCCTGCTCATTGCTACTCTTCCCCTAAGTGGTGTTGTGTCTTTATTGCAGCATTCTTGAGACTCTGTCCTGTACAGGCTGCTCCCTCAGCCTTGGCTATGTGTACAAATGCACTCCCAAGAACCTAGACTACAAGAGGGACTTGTTCTGCCTCAGTGTCGAAGCCATTGAAAGGTAGGTTTTTTGGATAAGTGGCTGCCTCATGACTGATTTCTCACAGTTAGGTTTGCAGAGATTGGCATGAGAACAGCCATGCTAAAGCAACACTGTTGGGTCCAAATATGTTTTTGAATAATAATTTCTGACAGTAAAGCCAGTGAGTCACCCTTTGTGTCTAATTCACTTGGTATTGGGAAAGTCAGACACTTAAGTTACAGGAGAAAATGTGAGACTTTTTTTAAAAGGAGAAAGCGATTGAGTTGTTTTTTTATTTTTTGTTTTTTGATTCTGGGTATTTGAGACAAGGTTTCCCTGTGTAGCCCTGGCTCTCCTGGAACTCTCTGTAGACCAGGCTGGTCTCAAACTCAGAGATCCGCCTGCCCCTGCCCCCGAGTGCTGGGCTTACAGGTGTGCGCCACAACAAGTTTCAGTGCATGCTCTTAGCTGGTGCTTCTGCCTCCCGGAGGCTGCGGTCATGTGTGCAAGTGTGCCTAGCAAGATGTTTCTAAGCAATTGTGTGGACCAGCATGTACTGTCCACACTTCCGTTATCAACCTCTCAGAACAGTGCTTCCCAACCTTCCTAATGCTGGGACCCTTTAACACAGGTCAGTGGTGAATTGTAACAGTATCTGATCTGCAACCCCTGTGAAAGGGTCTCTCAACCTCCAGAGGGGTCAGGACCCACAGGTTGAGAACAGCGGCCTCAGCTGATCATGAGGCAGGGCTGGGGTGGTAGCTCCGTGCGCTATGTACAAAGCCCTGGGCTCAGAGCCCAGCGCCGTGAACTCAGTGTGGTGGTGTACACTGCAGTCTCGCACTTGGCAGGTGAGGCAGGAGGATTGGGACTTGAAGCTAGGTAGAGAGCTGGCCTTGGGAGCCATGAGACTTAGAATCCCCTCTGACTCCCCAAAAGAATGTCACAAAGAATTGGCATTTCAAATTGGTTAAGAAAGCAGTCCCTTTGGTATTCTAGTAAATTTAGTTATTTACTATAATAAACAATTGTCTGGTTTTTTTGTTTTTGTTTTGTTTTCTGTTCTTTCAAAAATGCAAGGAAATGTCTGTATTCTACAGGATTTCTAAAAAGCATTAGTAACCAATGTGAATTGGGTGTCACAGGCCCCTAATTTCAGATCACCTTTAATTTTAGTAGTGCTTTGAAAATTTCATATTCATATATACAGTGTATTGATTATATTCGTATCATATAATGTATTGATCATATTCATATACAATGTATTGATCATATTCATATACAATGTATTGATCATATTAATATACAATGTATTGATCATATTCATATACAATGTATTGATCATATTCATACTCACCCCCTCACCCCAACTTCTCCCAGCGCCATCACCCCACCTGCTCCCTCTAGAACTTCCAGGCCTCTTTTTTTTTAATCTAAATAATCTCTCAAGTCCAATTTGTTGCCTCTATGCTCCTGTGTGTGGCTGTCCACTGGGGCACAGTCCACTGCCAGGGCTACACCCTTAAAGAAACTGACTCCCTCTTAGAAGCCGCCAGCCATCACAGCTTCTTTGATCATTTGGAAAAGCCCAGTGGAAACCTGCTGTTTTATTATACATGTATAATATATGTATAATAAATACATATCTGATGCTTATTGGAATTACCCTACACTGGGGATTAGCTCATCCCAGAAGCCCTGGGTGGCCAAATAAAAAAAAAGTGCTAGATTCAGGAAACCTTACCCTCAGGACAATCGCAGATGCCTTAATGATCTTCCAACCGATTGGCCTTTTAAAATAGGAAATACAAAATTAGATCAATTGATACCGACCAATGCCTCTTAATTCATCCTTGTAAAGATGCTACCCTAAGACCTGTGTCAGGAAAGGACAATTTAAGAAGAAAAGAAAATGACTATACTTTCCTCACTTGAGTACTTTTATCATGATTAATTTCTTTTTTTTTTTCTTTTTGGTTTTTTGAGATAGGATTTCTCTGTGTAGCTTTGGAGCCTGTACTAGAACTCGCAGAGGTCGCCTGCCTCTGCCTCCCGAGTGCTGGGAATAAAGGCATGAGCCACCACCACTCACCTTAATATCTTAAATTCTTGTCCTTAAAAAATTTAAAACAGTAATTTTATCCAGTTATTAATTGATAACTTTGTATTTGGCATCTTTTAAAACCAGCCAAGTTTAAATAGAAAATTTAAAATCCACTAAGCAGGTGGTGCTCCATGTTATAGAGCAGAGGGCCAGGCTCCAGACACGTGCTCCCTTAATCGGTGAGATGCTCTCTAGGGTTCGTGGCAGTGACCTGAGGTTGTGGGTGTGTACAGAAGAGAAGGAGTTTCAGCCAAGTGTGGTGACCCGCCTGTGACCTCAGCACCTAGAGGCTGGGGGGCTGCAAGGGGTGTCTAGAGTTTAAGGCCAACTGGGCTACCCGATAATTACAAAATGGAAGATACAAATCATTTTAATCCAGTAGGGTTGGAACAGAACCCTCTTTTCTAGTTTTGCTTTAGGTTTTTTTGAGACAGGGTCTCGTTATGTATCTATAACTTGCCTGGACCTTGCAGTGTAGTTCAGGCTGGCCTTGAACTCTTAGAGATCCACCTGCTTTCCTTTAAGAAGGAATGGTGTATTCGGACTCAGTACGTTGAGGATCCAGTCAGTCAAGGGGAGCTTGAGGCAGTGGGCCACACTGCTTCTCAGTCAGGAGACAGATAGATGGAGTCTCAGCTCGCTTTACTGTCTTCCCTGGAGTCAGGGAGGCTTGTGAGCTGCCACATGGGTGCTGGGAACCCAGCGTAGCTCCTACAGGAGCAGCAAGGGTTGGTTCTTAATTACTTAAACCCTAAGTAGTTAACCCTGAGGCTGCCCAACCCTTGATAATTATTAGTGCTTGTTAAAAGTCAAACTTGGAGGCCGGGCGTTGGTGGTGCACGCCTTTAATCCCAGCACTCGGGAGGCAGAGGCAGGAGGATCTCTGTGAGTTCGAGGCCAGCCTGGTCTCCGGAGCGAGTGCCATGATACGCTCCAAAGCTACAGAGAAAACCTGTCTCGAGAAACAAAAAAAAAAACAAAGAAGTGAAACTTGGAAGCACCCATGTCTCTAGAAAGTCACATAAAGCAAACGCTGGTTTCTCAGAATTGCTCTGCTTGCCCTTGGCCGTGATGTCGCTCTGCCCCCTGCCCGCCCAAAAGAGGAGGCTTCTTGCAGCAGTGAAACTTTTCTGACGAGAGTGAATATGTAGGGTTATCTGGACAGCACCGTTAGTGAGGGGTGAGGTTACGTGTTACAGCGTCTTCAGGTCTCCACCAACAGAATGCTGTCTTCACACCCGGGGCGTGGAGTCGTGCACTCAGAGCTGGCATGGTTAGCTGCTGGGACGTTGGTGCTAATTCCTTCTCATACTTGAGCTCTCACTGCAGTGCATCTCAGTTACACTTTAGGGTCCTCTGAAAAGCAAATCGTGCCGGAAGACAAGGAGCTTTTCAATCTTGAAAGCAGAGTTGAGATAGAGAAGTCTATAAAGCAGGTGAGTTTACTCTCAGTTTATGTCCCCGCTGCACCACCCTGTGATGTCACGCGCTTTGCTTTTAGCACTTGGCAGGGAAAGAGTGCTCATCGGGCGTTAGGGAGTGGAGCCGTGAGCTGATGCTGTATCCATGGAACCCTGAACACTTTCCATGCCGAGATGGAAACACTGCTCACTAAACCAGAAACGTAGCCTTGAGCAAAGCAACACTGACATTGTTTAGCACTGTGTCTGGGGGTCTGTGTGCACCCTGTGCTTGCTTGCTAGAGGTTGGAAGAGCCTGTTGGCTCCTCAGTCAGGTCTCTGGAGTGAACCAAGGTGGTCAGGCTCAGCAGCAACTACCTTTGCCTGCTATGCCACCCTGTGGCCTTAATCGGATTGGCTTGCCTGGCATTTGACTCATTGCTAAATACTAATGTTCTTGACTAAACATTGTTGTGTTGTGACTAAAGCTAGTAAGATTATGAGTATGCCTTATTCAAGTTAGAGTCACTTCCCTACAGAGTTTTGTTAGGCCTAGCATCTTTATGTCATGCAAAACATTCAAAATGGCATGGATTATTTTAATCATTAACCTATGATTAATTAATCGTACGCGCACT